TAATCAAAATATTAAGTAAAAAATATTTATTATATTTATATATATAATATTATATTTTAATATTATAATCAAATATCAATTAATATATAAATATAAGATATTTTTTATTTTAATAATATATAATTTATTATTAAATTATTAATAATAATAATATTATTATATATTTAATATTAATCTAATAATAATATTTAATAAAGATATTAAAATATACTAATTAATATTTTAAAATATAATATAACACTATTACTTTAATAAAATAATATAATTATAATATTTTTATTCAATAAAATATACCAATATTAATATTTTATTTATAAAATTAGAAAAATAATATTAATAATAAATAAATTATTTTATATTTTAAAAATAATAATATTAAGTTTTATGATAAATAATATTATTTATTGTATTTAATATTTATAATAAATAATTAAAAAAAACTCATTAACTAGCTGAAAAAATATTTAAACAACATCTTCCAAACATCGTAAAACGTTTTTCATATTTTTCAGAAAAATTTAATTCGTTTTACGGAAAGTTTTTCAAAAATTCAATTTTCAAAAAAAAATCAATTACAGCCGAATAACCCTAAAAGGAAACTTAAGATCCAAAATTGTTGGGTGTGGAGAGTACAAATGCGTGGAACGAGCAGGGTCAAATGGTAAAATCTTGCTTTTAAAACTTGAGATCAAAGTCTGTGTTGCAGGGTCGAATGGTAAAATCCATCCCGCTTTGAGATCCAAGTCTGTGTTTTTGCAAGTGGCTTTGGATACCAAAAGTGAAGACTAAGATCCATTTTTACACCTAATTTGTCTTCTTATTACCTCTGCATTATAATACTAAACTTGAAGGCACTACTATGATAAATTGTCGGGATAGTGCACGTGCGCCACCGAAATCTTCGACCACATATTTGAATGAAAAAGATGCTGCGCACGTGCTTCTCAGTCAATGGTCAGACTGCAGTGATTACACCACTGATCTTTTAATCTAATAATAATTATTACCAAAGTACTCATCATCATATATTTTGAAAACAAAACGATTTCCCAGGAAGAAGCCAAAGATAAGAACGATGATTAGGATCAGTTTCATGGAATCTATAAGCCCTTCATCATCATCATCATCATCATCATTTCTTATATTTCAAGTACCATGCATACACAACATTACTTAATGAATTATCACTAGTATTTTAAACGTTTATTAATAATTTTAAATAATAAAATGACGACAAAATATTTTGTACTATGTTTAAAAATTTAAAAATAAATAAATCATCTGTTATTGTTTAATTTTTTATTATAATTAATAGCGTGTGTTTCTATTTTTTTTTCTTTTCTCAAAAGCAAACATATTAAATTTATATAAAGTGAAATTCAAGCATAATAGTTTAATGTCTTAATATTTTAGTATGATTAGATTTTAATGAAACTCTCAAAGAATAACTATATGATAGTGTCGTAAATTCCTTTTAAGGAAAAATCATTGAGCATAATGTCAAGATCCTTCCACTTGAACATCTTTATTAGAACCATTGGGATGGCTATGTGGTGGACCACTATTAAATATTATTATTATGGTGGTTTAATAATACCTCAAATAAGACAATATGTTTGTACAATATGAGAAGAGTCGTTAATAAGAGTATCTATTGGTAGAGCATGAGGAATTATAATTATAATCCTCCTGCAAACAATAGCGTTGGGATGACTTTATAATTTCTTTGTTAATCAAAATGTTGATATGAGTTTATAATTCTTCAACTAAGTATAACAATTAGAAGACTTTATGAATTATGATTCATCCATCAATCACAATATTGAGATGTTGTAGGATCTTTATCCTTATAATGTGAGATGCCCCTGTATAATCCCTCACTATTAAATATTGACAAGGTTGTAATTTCGTCGGGATGTTTCCTCATAAGACACCTTCATCGATTTAATATTAAGATCTCTCTATTGAGATACTGTCGTGTATTTAAAAAAAATTCATGCATTTAACATTGAGACACCTATTTTGATATTGGTTTTCACCCACTGGTTATCTTTTTATCTTTGTTTTTTTAAATTTTTTTTAAATAAGAATGATTATGTCTTTGTGACATATTCTCTGTTTTTATGACACGTTTATCTATGTCTTTGTGGCACATTTTTCTGTGCTTTTTGGTAGCTTACAGTTTTTTCTGTCGTTGTTTTCGTTTATGTTTTTAACATGATTGGATTTGACATAGCCACGACTTATTAAGATGGTGCTTATTTATTATCATGTTGATCTTCCATGCTTTGGACCCTTTGATTGATTTGAATATGCGTTTTGCGCTCGTATATAGTTTTCTCACATCGCTTGACTCTAATTTGTGATTTGTCGACAGTCTTTCAGTAGTTTTATCCTTTTTTGTGGTTTGTTTGCCGACGTAGTCAGATTTGTTCGCATCTTTATTTTTATTCGAACATTAGTTAGGTTTTTCAACCTTTTCATTTTATTGTCCTTATGTAATCTAGGTGGATAGTTTTAGTGTTAATAGTTATAAGAAAATGTCTTAATTATAATTTAATTCACGTTTACGAATATTCTCATAAATATTTATTGTGATTTAGATTTTTTTCTATCTTTAATAAAGCTAACAACTTTCTATAAAAAAAAAATTGATATACCCTTTTTAAAGGAGCTTTCCTTATTATAACCTCTTACCAATGTGATAAGAATGCATCTCGACAAAATTACAATCTTGTCAATATTTGATAGTGGGGGATTATCATCTCCTGATGGTGAGGGCACCTTCTTCGTTCTTTTCTTTATATCTTATAAGTGAATAAGTTATTTGAGTCTTGATTTCGCCAACATATCTTTGTTCTGAATTTGATTTGAAATGTGTTTTTTATATGCCTATAATTTTGTTCATGAAGTCGATCATCGCAACCGCAAATACGGAAAATTTTTATTTGGTGGACCAATAAAAATATAATAAAAATTGCATAATATTAAAAGAAATAATACTAAAACTAGCCCATGATATTTATCAAAATGATTATTTTATCTCTTATTCTTTTTTGGAGCATTTTGGCCCCAACGTTTCACTTTGGGGGAAAAACTCCCTCTATAGATGAAAACTATTAGTTAACACATGATTAACGTTCCAAAATAGGAGATTTTTTTAACCTAAAATGAAATGTTAAGGGCTAAAATGTCCAAAAAAGAATAAGTGATAAAGTGATTATTATGCCAAATGTCAGAGCTTTTTCACCCTAAAATGAAATGCTGGGAGTCAAAATGCTCCACAAAATAGAACAGGGGCAAAATGAACATTTTGTAAACATTGGGGGATAATTTTGGCATTACGCTTATAAAAAATAACCCATAACGTTTACTAAAATGGTCATTTTGATCCCTATTCATTTTTTGGAGCATTTTGGCCCCCTAATGTTTTAGTTTAATTATCCTCATTCAAAAATGGTGCACGATAAGGAAATGCTCTGGGTGCAAGTTAGCAGGTCTAATGGCACCCGATTTTCCTGTTGATTCTCTGACGGCCGTTCTTCGCTTTCATCCCTCATTTTCTGCTAATGGGTTTTCTTTTTTCCCATTTCATTCTCCAAATGGATTAGAAAAAACTTTTCAAAGTTACTGAATCTCAAGACCTAGTTTACTTTCCCCCAAATGTTCACAATGGAAACACGATTGTTCATCCTCTACCAGAAATCTTTGATGCTGGAACTTCCGCGTGGAATCTATCCCTGGTGGGTCAATTTCTTGGTGTCTCACCCAGCTTCATCTCCTTGCAAAGAATTGTTGAAAATGTCTAGAGCAAATCTCTGCTGGGTTCACGAGTATAGGTTAGTACCGCTGGCAACAATCTGTTTATTTTCTCGTTTGATAGTGAATCTGCTAGGTATTGGGTCCTTAACAATGGTCCATGGCACATACATAACAAAACCCTTATTCTGCGTAAGTGGGAACCTAACTTGAAGACCTTAAATTTCGACTTAGCAAAAATTCTAGTATGGGTTCATCTCTTCAATGTTCCCTTGGAACTCTTTACTCGATTAGGCCTAAGTTACATTTCCAATGCCATTGGAGTTCCACTCTCAATGGATACTATACCTGATGCTAAGACTAGGCTTGAATTTGTGAAAGTCTACATTGAAATAGGTATTAATGACTCCATTCCTAAGTTCATTGAAGTTGAACTTAAAAACGGCCAAAAAACCTCGATCAATATTGAGGTTCCTTGGATCCTACCTTCATATAAAAAGTGCAAGGTGTTGGTCATAATGATAAGGGTTGCCTGCATAATCCAATTGTTATACCTTCAGTTTCTCAAGTCTGGAAAAAGAAGAAAGTTATTGCTTCAAATTCGGCAGCAATCCATATAGGTGGTATAGAAGCTTTACAGGAACCATCTAATACTGTAATATTGTTGATGATGGTAATATTCAGAAAGAGTTTCCACAAGTCATCTCTTCTAACTCCTTAGAACCCTCAGTTCCTACTGCTGTGGAAGCTTCACATTCTGTGCTCCAAAAGGTTGACAAGGTTGTTGACCTATCTATTAATGTTGATGTTGGTAATGAACTTCCTAACATTCAGCCTGTTGTAACTCATTGTTCTAGTTTACCTGCTGAAAAATCAATCTGTCAGAATGTGGTAGATTTTATTACCAATATTCATTCTGAAAAAGCTCTAACATCTGCCGAGGCTAGTTTAGAACCGGTTAGTGAAAAAACTTCTCAACCAGAAACAACTAAGAGAGGTAGAGGAAGACCTAAAAAGGATATTGAAAATGGTTCATTCTCAAGTTCCAGTAACATATTTGAAGTGCTCAACTCTGTTGAGGATTCTCCTACTTTAGATGTTCCACTAAGGAAGCCTAGAGCTGCAGCAAAGGGAGTTTCAGTCTTGGTCAAGGAACTTAAATCTAAAAAGAAAGATCAGCTTGACAAAACTAAGTCTCTCTCTGTAGAAAGTCAAAGGGGTTCCATGGGAGCACCTTCTTAATGATTGCTAGTTTCTGGAACATTAGAGGATTTAATAATCCTCTAAAGCAAAATAAAGTGCTCCTTAGAGCCTTTCAAAATAAAGTGGATGTTCTTTGCCTTTTGGAGACTAGAGTTAAACGGGATAAATCAGAGGTTATTCTTAATTCTAAACTTTACAACTATAATGTATGCACAAACTACAATCATGCCATTAATAGAAGAATTTGGATCCTATGGAGGAAGGGAATTGATCTTTCAATAATCCAAGTTTCAGGCCAAAGTATCACTGCTAAAGGTACTGCTTTTGGTAATTATGTTTTCATCACAACTATATATGGTAGTAATGAGGGAACTACCCGAAGATAATTGTGGCATTCATTAAAGGATGTTAGTACTAATGTTGGTCATTCTCCATGGGTCTTAGGAGGAGATTTTAATATTTTTCTACACTCCCATGAAAGCTCTGACCATGAGCTGTTAGGGCCTTATTCTTCTCCTGACATGAGCGATTTTCAAGAGTTTACCCATGAGCTTAACCTCCTTGACCACCCTTATTTGGGGCCTAAGTACACTTGGAGCAATAAGCATCATAACCTTTTTCTTGCCAGGAAACTTGACAGAATTTTGATTAATCCTAGTTGGGATTCTTTCTTTCATCATTCCTTTGTGGAATTCCTTGCTCCAGGTGTTTCTGACTATAGTATAGCCATCATATGGCTTTCAAAAGAGTCCCCTACAACAAGACCCAAACCTTTCAAATTTTTTAATTTCTGGGCTTCACATCCTCATTTTCTTAACGTTGTTAGAAATTCTTGGTCTCAATATGCTCATGGAAATCCCATGATGATTTTATTCTCTAAATTTAGAAGACACAAAGATTGCCTAAAGAAATTCAACAAAGATAACTTCAGCAATCTCTCGGACCGTGTGAAACTAAAGAGAATTGAGCTGGAAAATATACAACTTCTCACTCTCAAGGCAGAGGATTCCATTGTGAATGAACTTCAAATTCAAGATCAGTTAAAGACCCTTGAAGAAGTCGAATCTCTTTTCCTCAAGCAAAAGGCAAAAGTTCAATGGATTAAAGAATGAGAAACAAACTCCAAATTTTTTCATTCTATAGTGGCTTTTAAAAACAAGAGGGATACTATAAGAGTCATTCTTGATGAAAGATGAAATAGGCTTGAAACTTTTGATGCCATGGCTAATGAAGTGACTACTTTTTTCTATAAGTTACTTGGTACAACTGATCCTTTGGTCAAGGATATGTATTCTTCCAATCTCCAAGACCTCCTTAACTTTTATTACCCTCTGAAGCTTCTTCTCCTTCTCTAGTTAAGGAGGTCTCTACTGAAGAAATTAAAAATGCCTTATTCAGTCAAGGCAATGAAAAAGCCCCAGGATCGGATGGTTTCTCTTCTTTCTTCTTCAAGAAATGTTGGTCAATAGTGGGATAAGATGTCCTCAATGTTGTCAATTATTTTTTCAGCAATGGTTATATTCACCCTGCTTTCAATTCCACTATAATTGCCCTTGTCCCCAAAGTCCCTAATCCTTGCATTGTTAAAGACTTCGGGCCAATCTCCTGTCGTTCAGTCATCTACAAGATTATTTCTAAAATCATTGTCAATAGGTTGACTGGTTTTCTACCTGGGATCATCTCATTAAATCAGATTGTTTTTATCCATGGCCGTGATATCATCGATAATGCTCTCCTTGCCCAGGAGATGGTAAAAGGATATAGTAGGAAATCCATCTCTCCAAGATGCTCAATGAAGATAGATCTTCATAAAGCTTTCGACTCTTTGCATTGGAATTTCTTATTAGCAATCCTTAAAGCCCTCCATCTTCCTCAAAAATTTATTGCTTGGATTGAAATCTATTTTTCTCAAGCTAGGTACTCTTTTGCTTTTAATGGTACCTTAATAGGTTATTTCAAAGGGGCCAGAGGTTTAAGACAAGGGGATCCTCTTTCTCCTTATCTTTTCGTCCTAGCAATGAATGTTCTTTCAAAAATGCTTAATAAAGCTGCTGCCAAAGGAATATTTGCTTTTCATCCAAAATGCAAGAAAATTGGGTTAACTCGTCTCTCATTTCCAGATGACTTACTAATTTTCTGCAAAGGAAATATGGACTCTGTAGTTGGTGTCTTGAGTGTTCTCCACCAGTTTCATCAAGTTTTTGGACTTCATTTAAATCCCTCTAAATGTGAAATCTTCTCTACGGGTATTTCCTCTAGGGATATTGAGAATCTGAAAATTATCATTGATTTAAAATAGGCTGCCTACCTATTAGGTACCTTGGTATACCTCTTGTTACACGAAAACTTTCTCTGAAAGACTGTGAACCACTTTTTGACAAGATTAGGCAAAGGTTACACCACTGGTCCACAAGAAACTTTAAGTTATGCTGGCATACTCGAGCTAATTAGATATGTTCTTTTTAGTGTCAGCAATTTCTGGTGTAGACAATTAATTCTTCCAGCTTCTACTTTAAAATCAGTGGATCAATTATGCTCAAGATTCTTTTGGAAAGGAGCTGACAAATCGGAAGCTGGAGCAAGAGTTAGTTGGGACCAAATTTGTCTTTTAAAATATGAAGGAGGCTTAGGTTTGAAAAATACTACCACTTGGAACAAAGCTTGCATTATGAGTCTTATTAGAAAGATCCTTACAGGAAGTGGTTCGCTCTGGGTTGCATGGCTGAATAGCTACGTTTTCAAGGATAATAATTTTTGGCAGTTTGAGATTGGGTCTAATATCAACTGGAATATTAGAAGAATCCTCAATTTGAGAAATATTGCTTATCCTCTTTATTCTTCTGGTATTCTGCAAGCGAAGGAAATTTGGGGGGAAATTCAAATGCAAGGGCCGAAAGGGCATTGGCACCGTTTTGTATGGTACCCTATGCATTTACCAAAATACAGCTTGATTACCTAGATGGCCATCTTGAACAGGTTATCAACTTGCGATCACTTATAGCGCATGGGATTAATCACTGCTGGAATTAGCGTGAGCTACAGGGCATCAAAAGAAAGCAGGGATCACTTGTTTTCTCAATGCCCCTTGGCTATTGATCTCTGGAAATCTGTACTTCAATTGAATGGTATGAACTACACTGCACTGACTTGGGAAGATATGGTTTCTCGTGCCAGCTCTAAGTGGAAAGGGAAGTCTCTAATCACCACTATTTTGAAGATTTCATGGAATGCTTATATCTATTTTTTGTGGCAAGAACGTAATCATAGACTATTTCAAAGAAGATCCCGAACTGTTGACAACTTGCTCAAGGAAATCATTGAAATAATTAGTATAAGGCTTAAAGGAAAAACTATTAATAAACTTGATTGCACTAACTTCCATCTTTGTAATGCTTGGAATATAGTCTAACCAATCTTTTGTTCTTTTGCATGTTTTGTAATGCTCCTTTGTCTTGATTGGTGATTGGTTGTATATTTCATTGCTCTTGGATAATAAAATTCTGATTTATCCAAAAAAATGTTTTAGTTTGGGGTAAAATGCTCTATCTATACACGAAAACTATTAGTTAACACATAATTAACACTCCAAAATATGAATCCTTTTAACCTAAAATGAAACATTGAGGGCTAAAATGTTTCAAAAAAAAGAATATGGGACAAAGTGATTATTCTGTCAAATGTTAGGGGCTTTTTTGGTCTAAAAATGAAACTTTGGGTTCAAATTGCTCCAAAAATATAGTACGAGGCAAATTGACTATTTTAATAAATATTGGGGGCTAATTTTGGCATTATACTTTGTAACACCCCCTTCCCGTATCCGTATCGAACACGAGTAAAAAATATCATATGAAACTTATGAAACTTTCCTTATTGAAAATCGATAAAAGTTTGTTTCTTTATAACTATTATTGCTAAACAATAACTAATAATTCATTTAATCACATAAAATATCTTTCTATTTGTTCAATATTCAAACTAAGTCCATTTTCAAGTAGTAACCTAGCAGTTCATAACTACAAAGTGTAACCAGTATAATTGCCTAAAAATGTAACACCTTGAAAACCAGGTTAGTAGTTTCGGGTATTATACGTTGGGCTTGGATGATTAAATAAGCTCAAGTTAAATAGTTGGGTCAAGGGTGAAGGAATTGGGCTTGTAAGAAGCCCACTAAGTGTTAAAATGACATTTTTGAATTGGGCATGAAAGATGAGGGACCAAGGGAATAATTAGCCCCTTGTTTGAAAATAAAGTTGAATAACCATTAATGAGAGGTGAAAAATCAGAACACATATCCTCTTTTTCTTCACTTTGTCATCTTTTTCCTCTATCCGCTTCTATCTTTTTCACTTCCAAAGGTTGTAAAGGTGAGAGCTTTATTGAGTTGCAAAGCTTATCAGGAATTCTAAAGGTAAGAAAGGAATTCTACACCCTTAGAGCTTCATCTTAAACCCAAAATCAAATGGTTTGGCTATAGTGGCAAAATATGGGTTTTTGAGAGGTTTTAGTTCTAGGGATTATAAATGATTATGAGTTGTTCCTAAATGTTTACAAAAAATTTTCTAAATATTTAGAAGCTTAAAAATGAGATTTTGATTCTTTGTTTGCTTTGGTTAGTGAAAGAACGTGGTGAGTGCTCTCAAGCTAAGAACAAGGATAAGTTAGTGCTTGAGTGACCCTTGGAGCCTCATTTCTTCAGGCTTAGTGAGGTAACACATAAGTGACTCTCCTTTTTACCATATGTAAGCCAAGAGTCTATGTTTTCTTGCTTGTTGTGTTCTTTGGGGACAAAATGGGTATTAATGGTAGCATGCTTAATTGATGTTTTTGTTGTGTTAAAATGACTCATTTCGATATTAAATAACCCCATAAAACTTAAAAACCCTTTTTACAATATCAATATTTTTTCGTATAAGGTAAAATGAGGTAATTTTTTAGGATGAGTATCGATACCCCTTCAAGGACTATCGATACTTGTGGTCTAGTCTCGATACCCAAGGGTATGGCCTCGATACTAGGATTCCAGAATGCCAAATTAATACCGATACTTATGGGAGTATTGTTACCATTGAGAGAGTATCAATACTCTACATCAGGGTATTGATACTGAGATTAAAATTTAAACATCGAAGATCAAATTGCTATTGATACTAAGGCCAGTATCAACACACTAAGGTTGGTATCGATACTAATAGGCTCAGTATCAATACGACGTCCTGTATAGGGCAGAGAACTTAACAAATGTTATAAGTTTGTTGAGGGGGATTATGATGGCATCGAGGGTTCTTAAATAAGACTACAAGTGGTAATAACTTTTGAAACCCTTATGAATAATAACGCTAAATTGTGTGGCATAAAACTAGCCTTTACTTGAAGTTCGAGAAATAACGAGAACATCGGGGTTACTTGAGTGTATATATATACTATTCGAATATGTAAGCAAAGATATCCAGATTCTCTTCATTAGTGCTATGGCACTTTAGTATTAATGTGAATGCACTTTTGATTCAGTGTGAATGCACTTTTGTATCAGTGCTACGACACTTTAGTATTAGTGCTAAGGCACTTTCGTTATATAATGGTAATTATATTATGATTCTTACGATACTATCACACATATCCTCATTTTATGATATATATTTATTGCTTATGTTGCATTATGACTTAACTTGTTAAGCATTTATAATTAATGGATACACATAGTATAGTGGAGTCATTTTTGTAGAACTGAGCTCGTAGCTCAGCGTTCGAAATTATTTTCGTTCGCGGGTTAGTAGGTGTCAAACTCGGGAGCATGTCGCTAAACTTCAGATTCTAGATATCAGCAGTAGCAGAGTATGTCTTGATTATTATAGTGGGCATTGTATTATCATAGACCCTTTTATATTTCGAGTCATAACTCTTAGATTAATGTATTTGATAAATTATTTTGGGAGTTTTCCAGTTTGTAAACCTAACTATTAATATTTTATTTTAACTTAAATATGATGAACTTTATTTTGTAAAATATAAAATGTTTTATATAGAAAAAAAATAGGTTAGCCACTCTGATGATCCCGTGTAATGCCCAAAACCTATGAGTTTCATTTTATTTGGATTTGGGTGTTAAAAAAAT